ATGTCCATATTGATTTTATCTCTAAGGAGTCACTGATTATTCCCACATCCTACTTCCTGACCACCTCCAGCAGCATAGCCCCTGGTGTGGAAGGAGAGGTCCCTGGGCACGGTGACCAGGACCCCAAGGAGGGCCTGGATCTCTGAGGGCACAGTCAGCACCTCCTTCCAGGAGAAGCCCCAGAGACCAGGACCTCCCTCACCTCTTGCCCTTTGTATGTGCAGACACCTCCCATATGCAAATACCCACACGGCCACCAGACACACACACAGTTGGCGTCCACTTAAATGCAGGGCCTCCTCACCCTGGAGAATACTTTCTGGGGGACGAGGACCTCACCTGCAAGACATGACTCCCATGTGGCTCTTCCTCTTCCTGCTGTCAGCTCCCAGATGTGAGTGACTCAGGGCTTAGACGTGAGGAGATGGGGATCCAGCATCTGAGCCCAGGACTCACTGTGTTCTCTCTGACCCAGGTGTCCTGTCCCAGGTGCAGCTGCAGGAGTCGGGCCCAGGACTGGTGAAGCCCTCGCAGACCCTCTCCCTCACCTGCTCTGTCTCTGGATTCTCCATCACAACCAGTGGTTACTGCTGGCATTGGATCCGCCAGCCCCCAGGGAAGAGGCTGGAGTGGATTGCGATTATATGTTATGATGGGAGCACTAATTACAGCCCCTCCCTCAAGAGCCGAACCTCCATCACCAGAGACACGTCCAAGAACCAGTTCTCCCTGCAGCTGAGCTCCATGACCACCGAGGACATGGCCGTGTATTACTGTTCAAGACACAGTGAGGGGAAGTCAGTGTGAGCCCAGACACAAACCTCCCTGAGGAGACAGCAGGGCTGGGCTTCAGGGAGCGTCCAGGACACCAGGGGGCGCTCAGGACCAGCAAACCCAGGCTCCCAGCTCAGAGGCTGTCCCTGGGGGGTTGTGCAGGCTTCCTATTGGGGTCAATGCTTTCTTCCCTCCTAGTGTCCCTGGGGAAGTTCCTGCTTCCTTCTTTGTGCCTTTAATTAGATTCTCAGCAGGAAAAAGCAGGAAGTGGCTGTGTGTCAGATCTGGTCAACTTCTCATCTAGGTCCTTCCTGTCACCATGTCCCTGACGGTCTCGCTATGGGTTGACAAAGAAAACATTGTAGGGATTCCTGTCCAATCACTGACAGCAAAGTTCTCCACCCTCCACGCAGGGCTGAGTGGGTAACACGGAGTCCAGGCCCCAAACTTCACCTGAGGGTGATCAGCCCCTTGCCCTACTCCTGGAGGAGCCCTTTGGGGGGCAGTTAGCTGATTGCTCCTCACTGACCTGACTGCGTATGGAGGTTTAGGGTCTGACCTCTGTGGGCGCTGCCTCTCAGTGTGCCTTGGAGGCCCAATGATGGGCCCTGTCACAGCCCTGATGCACCCTCTTCCCCAGGTTCGGAGACCCAACACTAGTCCAGCTTCCCCTGGGGAACCACCTGCATCCTGAGAACCTGCTGAAGGGAGACATGGTCCCACCCGCCTCTGCTGTGCCTCCAGCTCCGCAGACACCATCCCACCCTCACCCTCTGTCCTCTGCTGCCCACACTCTCACCCTATGGGGCCTGCACAGGATGTCCCGTGTGGATGTGTCTGCCCTCTCCTTCCCTCCTTGTAGATTTTACCTTGAATGCAGCCCCACGTCATCCCCTCATGCCCATCTCCTGTACCAGGCCCTCCCTGAGACACCAGGGCCAGGGCCACTCAGGCAGCCTGAAGTGACCTCCATCGCCCTGCCGAACCCACATGCAGTGCCGACGTATGAGGTCAGTCTGCGCAGTTCCTCCTGTGTCAGGTGGAGACACACTGAGCACTGACCCAGGAGCACTTCCAACAGCTCACACTTGTGCTGAGGGAACCTCCAGGGGCCTGTGAGCTTCAGAGCATCATGGTGGACAGGCCCATAGCCATTTATGTCAGAGGAAAGTGAGGAAAGGGCTGGGGCCTGTTCATCTATAATGTTGCCCAAGTCCCGCTGACCAGAGCCCAGGTACACAGGGAGCTCTGTGAATCCTAAAAGTGCAGGAAAAGCCCAGACAGCATGGCTCAGTGGTTGAGCATCGACCTATGAACCAGGAGGTCACTGTTCCATTCCTGGTTAGGACACATGTTCAGGTTGCCGACAACATCTCCTGTATGGGGCATGCAGGACGCAAACAATGATTGTCTCTCATCATTGATGTTTCTCTCTGGCTTCTTTCTTTTCCCTCTAATAATAAATGAAAATATCCTCAATGGATGATCAAAAAAGAAAGAGCTATATCTCCATATATATCTATACCTATATCTATATATGATCTTTATCTATATATGTATCTATATATGCATCTATATCTATCTATATCTATATCTATATCTCTATCTATATCTATATCATCTATATCATCTATATCTATATCTATATCTATATCTATATCTATTTCTATTTCTATTTATATCTATATCTAGTAGAGGCCCAGTGCACAAAATCCATGCACTAGGGTGCGAGGTGTCCCTCAGCCTAGCCTGCACCCTCTCCAATTTGAGAAACACTTGGGGGATGTCCAACTGCAGATTGGATATCCCTCTTACATTCCAGGACTGCTGGCTCCTAACCACTTTCCTGCCTGCCTGCTGGATTGCCCCTAACCACTTCTGCCTGCCAACCTGATCAGCCCTAACAACTTCCCTGCAGGCCTGATTGATGCCTAAATGCTCCCCTGCCAGCCTGATCACCACCAACTGCTCACCCCTGCGGGCCATCTGTGGCGGCCATCTTGTGGTGGCCATCTTGTGGTGGCCATCTTGTGGTGGCCAGCTTGTAACAACTTGGGGTCACCATCTCCTGATGACGTGAGGGCATCACACGAGGTAATGAGGTCCGTCTAGGCTTTTATTAGTGTATATATCTATATCTATATCTATGTCTATATATATATATATATATATACATACATATATATATATATATATTCATGGAAACAGAAACCCAATGATTTTAAACCCAAAGGAGTCACTGATTGTGCCCATATCCTACTTTCTGACCACCTCCTACAGCATAACCCCTGGTGTGGAAGGACACAGTGACCAGGACCCCAAGGAGGGCCTGGTTCTCTGAGAGCACAGTCAGCACCTCTTTCCAGGAGAAGCCCCAGAGACCAGGACCTCCCTCACCTCTTGCCCTTTGTATGTGCAGACACCTCCCATATGCAAATGCCCACAAGGCCACCAGACACACACACACACACAGTTGGAGTCCCCTTAAATGCAGGGCCTCCTCACCCTGAAGAATAGTTTCTGGGAGACGAGGACCTCACCTGCAAGACATGACTCCCATGTGGCTCTTCCTCTTCCTGCTGTCAGCTCCCAGATATGGGTGACTCAGGGCTTAGACATTAGGAGATGAGGATCCAGCATCTGAGCCCAGGACTCACTGTGTTCTCTCTGTCCCAGGTGTCCTGGCCCAGGTGCAGCTGCAGGAGTCGGGCCCAGGACTGGTGAAGCCCTTGCAGACCCTCTCCCTCACCTGCTTTGTCTCTGGATTCTCCATCACAACCAGTGGTTACACCTGCACCTGGATCCGCCAGCCCCAGGTGAAGAGGCTGGAGTGGATTGGGTATATATGTTATGATGGGAGCACTTATGGTTGCCATCAAGTGACAATATGATGGTGGCCATCTTGTGATGACGTGGGGGCGGCCATGTTGTGGTGGCCATCTTGTGACTAAATGGGGTGGCCATCTTGTGATGATGTGAGGGCATCGCACGAGGGCACAAGGACCACCTAGGCTTTTATTAGTATAGATATCTATATCTATATCTATATCATCTATATCTATATCTATATCTATATCTATATCTATATCTAATCTATATCTATCTATACTATATCTATCCCAGCAGAGGCACATTGATTTTATCTCTAAAGAGATAATAAAGCAGTCAAATATCTACAATAATAAAAGCATAATAAGCGAATTGACCAAACAACCAAACATCAGAACAACTGTTCAGACAACCTTCCAAATGTCCATGCTATGACACACACTGGCACCAGGCCCACCAACACTTGTGTGATGCAATTGGTTGAAGGGCCCTGCCATTGCCCCAAGATCACCCCACAGAGAGAGGACCAAGCCATCCTTTGTGGGGCAATTGATGGGGAGGGGTGGGCTCCATGATTGATCACCTGAAAGAGGAGGTCCAGGCCACCCTCTGCACAGCGATCGATTATGGAGACCTGGCCAGGTGGTCTGGGCCTCCCTCTGTGGAGCCACCAATTGCAGAACCCCACGATCTATCGCTTTGCAGAGGGTGGCCCAGACTTGCAAAGTGATCGCATCCCATGCTTGTCGCCCACAGAGGGAGGTGACCATTGGTGGGGGAAGGGGGACAATGTCACACAAATGGCAAGCAGTGGCAGCTGCGGAGGTGGGGCCAGCTGCCACAACCAGAAGAAGGAAAGCCTCTATAGGCCCTGATCCCCAGCCAGGCCTAGGGACCCTACCCAAGGGGTCCTGTATTGCGAGAGGGCGCAGCCATGCTGAGTGAAACCACCCCATGCACAAATTTCATGCACCAGGTCTCTAGTCTGTATGTATAAAAGCCTAAATGACTGAATGACTGAACGACCATTTGACTGGTTGCTGTGATGCGCACTGACCACCAGGGGGAAAATGCTCAACATGGGAGCTGCCCCCTGGTATTCAGTGCACTCCCACAGCAGGAGCACTGCTCAGCTAACTGACAGATGCCAGGCTTACGGCTAGTGAGTGCAGCTGCAGTGGTGCTAGCCTCTCCTGCCTCCATGGCAGTACACTACCGAGCGACGGCAGGCGCAGCAGTGTCAGGATGAGCTGGAGCAGCGTGGCACCTGGCCCAGGCTCAGCCTACTCCCGGCCACCTGCAGCTTGGCATACTACTACGTCATTATGGGGATATTGGAAGGCTGTTTTGGCCCTATCCCCGCAGACCCCAAGGGGTCCCGAATTGCAAGAGGGCACAGACCAGGCTGAGGGACCCCAATGGTGCATGAATCCATGCACTGGGCCTCTAGTATATACATGTGATTGGAATTCCTGAAAGAGGAGAGAGGGGGCACCAAGAAAAATGTTTGAAGAAATCATTGAAAACAGATTTTCAGAATTTGATGTAAATTATAAGGAGATCTAAGAACACTAAAGTACTCCAAGAAGAATCAAAATAAACAACATTAAATCAAGGCACATTGAAGTCAAACTGGTGAAAAAGATAAAATGCCCAAGGGCAGCAAAGGAAAAAACCACACATGAGTCAAGAAACAAGATTAATAAAAACAACAAAGGTCAGATGGAAAACAACCAAAACCAGAAGATAATGGAGTGACGACTCTAAAGAGCTGAAGGAACATTGAAGGAACATCAATGTAGAATTCTAAACTAACAGAAAATATATTTCAAAACTGTATGAAAATGAAATTACAAAATATCAAATTTTGTGTGATGCAGCTAGAGCAGTGCTTAGAGGGAAATGTACAGCATTAAATGCTTATGTTAGAAAAGAAGAAAGATCTTTAAATCAATAATCTAAGCCTATACTTTAAAAAAATGGGAAAGGGTGAGAACCAATGTGGAGGCAGAGGTAAATGCATGTTCTCACTGCCTCCCACAACCACATGAAATGCACAACTAAAATAGAGAACAACCATCATTCCAGACTAGGGAGGTACAGAAGAAAGCACACCGAGACTGATAGAAAGGGTGGAGGCAGGGAGCAGGCTAGTCTTACACCCACATGCTGTATGTTTTTAATTGGCAGGGATATCTCAGCTCTGGAGGCCTCCTGTGAGAAGCAAAGGGTCCGATTCCCACACCAGCCCCCAACCCAGGGATCCAGAGCTGGGAAGAGAAGTCCTCAGAGCTTCAGGATGTAAATAACAGCAATGATTTTTGCTGAGTGACACGGAGGCAGCTGGAGACCCAGGCTTTTCCTCTTAAAGGGCCAGCAAAGGAACTTACAGGGTCCTGCTTCCTCTGAGCTCCAGGGAAAGGTGGTGGAATTGGAGGATCCAGGGACATGTGGGAAAGAACTGGATTGTCTGGTATTTGAGGCAGGAAATACGGATGGCTTTCTCCCAGACAGGGCTACTCCCAGGGGTCATTGTTTCTGTGCTGGGACCTCCCCCATCACATAGCTGCCTAAAAGACATATCTGAGGTTCCATCAGTGTGTCTCACACAGTTTGCTCTTCCCTGAGAACCCACCCCATCCAAATTACAGCCCCACCCAAGCTGTTTGCAGCAGCCTTTCCATATGAATGGCTTTTCCTGGCTTAGGTTTCAGACTCTCCTAAAATCTCTCAAACTAGCAGAAGCTGGCATCTTCATGCCCCAAAGCTAACAATAAGAGACCCAAGACCTGGCACTAGAACCAGCCTGCCTCGCTCCACAACTTGTCCTCCCCTTGGCACTTCCATGCCCATCACAAGTAGCAGCCATCTGCAGATGCCCCTGTAGCTACTGCTTGGTGGCCTCAGGCAGTGGCTGACTCTGCCCCTCCCAAGAGGCTCTAGAGCCAGGGCACTCATTGGACAGCTTTAGACCATAGCAGCTTACAACTCCACACATTCAGGAGGAGGAGGAGGAGAAAAAGGAGAAGCAGGAAAAGGAAGAAGGAAAAGAAAAAGAAGGCAAAAGAAGAAGGAGAGGAGGAGAAGGAGAAGGAGGAGGAGGAAATATGAACAAAGCCACAGCCAGTTAGTCTCAGTGGGTAGAGCATTGGCCTACTGATTGAAGGGTTCTAGATTTGATTCTGGTTAGGGGCACATGCCCATGTTGCGGGGCATGCAAAAGGTGGCTGACAGTGATTCTCTGTCATCATTGACCTCTCTCTCTCTTCCTCTATCTCTCTCTCTCTCCTTTCCCCTCTGAAATGAATAAAAATTAAAAAAAAAACTAAAAATATGAACAAAATACTGACAATACATACATATCTATCAAAAATTGAATCTAAGAACCCAAATAATGAACAAAGTATGTAATGAAAGAAAATAACTGATGAATAAAATAGAATCTGAGGCATGGAAACATGGAACAGAATGAGGAAACTCATAGGGAAGAGGGAGGGGAGAGTGGAAAGAGATGAACCAAAGAACTCATAGTCACATGCATGACATATAGACACAGATAAGAGGTGGTGAAGGCCAGGGTTGAGACAGGAATACGGTGCAAGGTTGATATGGGAGTACAAAGGGGGACATCAGTAATTCTCTCAACAGCAAAGATTTTTTAAAAAAGAAATTATAAAAGGAAGATCAAAATTGAATAAAAATCAGGCAGAATGAAGGAAAAAATACAGATGAACAGAGATTAATGAAATTAACAGAGAAAAATGATTAAAAACAGCTCATGATGCCAACAGCTGATGCCTTGAAAAGATCAAAAATACTAATTAATCCCCTGCAGCATGCCAACCCCCCACACCACAAGCCAGGGCTCCATTTGTAAATGATAGAAATTCTCCCACTTTGAGGAGCTAGGAAACAGAACTGCTGCACAGGAGCAGCAGGGAAGTGGAGTGAAATGTGTGCTTTCGGGAGGCAGCAGTGTGCTTGTGAGAGTGACAGTAGGTTTGAGACAGAGGCTGTGGCCACAGCATCCAGCCCAGCCTCTCCTGCCCTTCACATGTAGAGGTTCCAGTTTTGTGGACGATCCGATTGAGGAAATAACAAGGAGAATCTTTCAGTCTCAAAATAAAAGTATCATTCAATGCAAATTCTTATTCTCAAACCCCAGAAAGGGAACATGGCCCACGGCGGGTGAAGGAGAGTGAGAGGAAGCCCCATCCACGCACCTCTGGGGGAGCACCCCTGGGTCCTCATCAAAACGCCAAGGAAGGAGGAATCTCAATCCTGGAAGCTGCCCCCAAAGTAAAGGGGTCAGGGTGACGGGTCTCAGGAAAGGAGGGAGGGAGGAGGGTCAGGACGGAAGCCCTTCTGGCCAGGATCCTTGAGTATTTTCCCATCTGGGGTCGCCCCTAGAATGACAAGGTCAGGCGTGCAGCCCAGGGTCCCAGCTGCACCCTTATATGCAGACTCCATGCAAATGGGGCTCTCCTCCTGCTCATAAAAGGGGGCCCTTGCCTGGCATGTTGGGGAGACACCCAGAACCCAAGCACCTGAGACAGGACCCCAGCGGCTCCACCATGGACTTGGTGCCAAGCTGCGTTTTTCTCCTGATCATTTCTCAAGGTCGTTCTCAGGAGTGGGGGGCGCTGAGACCTGTGCCTGTGCCTGTAGGTGCTTCCATGTGATTCTCAGTCCACCTTGTGTCTCTGTGTTTGCCGGTGTCCAGTGTGAGGAGCAGCTGGTGGAGTCTGGGGGAGGCCTGGTGCAGCCTGGGGGGTCTCTGAGACTCTCTTGTGCAGTCTCTGGATTCACCTTCAGTAGCTACCAAATGCACTGGGTCCGCCAGGCTCCAGGGAAGGGTCTGGAGTGGGTCAAACTCATTAGTAGTAGTGGTGGTACCATATACTATGCCGACTCTGTGAAGGGCCGTTTCACCATCTCCAGAGACAACGCCAAGAACACACTGTTTCTGCAAATGAGCAGCCTAAGAGCCGATGACATGGCCATGTATTACTGTGCCAGACACACAGTGAGGGGAAGTCAGTGTGAGCCCAGACACTAACCTCCCTGAGGAGACATCAGGGCTGAGCTTCGGGGAGTGTCCAGGACACCAGGGGTGCTCAGGACCATGAAAGATAGGGTCCCAGCTCAGAGGCTGTCCCTGGAGGGTTGAGCAGGCTTCCTGTTGGGGTCAATGCTTTCTTCCTGAACACAAGGACCATCCAGAAGCAGGTGCAGTTGGAGGTATGGGCTGGTTCCTGTGTGGTTTCCTCTTCATGTCACAGTTTCCCTCAGGGAACCTCAGATCCTGATTCTTCGCTGACGTCTGAGTCTCTGAGCTAGAAAGTCTGTTGTAAAGAGAGAGAACTTTCTCCTGTGAACAAAAGGTAGAGAGTCTCTTTCATACACACTTGTGCCCTAATGGGTTTTATCATCAAATCTTCTGACCCACGTCACCTGAATCTAACAAAAGGCTCTAATGACTCAACAGTGCAGCTCCCCTGAATGCTGGACCGTGGGCCCCACATGTGTGTGACCCCAAAGCTGCAGAAGAAGGACCCACAGGGTGACAGTCCTGGTCTTGTCCTCATGCTCACAGCACCCAGAGGAGTGGACACCATGCAGAAGCAGAGGCACAGCAGCTGGTACAGATGTTCATGACACACACACACCAAGGGGACGAGGGATGGTTATTATGCTCCTGATTGAAACCCCTGAGAAGCACAGGAAAGATCACTCAGCAAGTCAGACCTGCTTGGATGGAGACTGGAAAGGAGAGGGTGGAGGGCTTTTATTTTGGCGAGATGGTGGGGGAGAGTGAGGATTTCTGTTTCCAGGAACTGATGTGGTTTCAATCTCCCAATAATTTCCAAAGAGAAAAGTATGATTTCTTATCCAATTTCTGTGGGGCAGATGGAGAAGAGGCAGCAATGAGCCCTCAGTTGTTAGAATTCCAAGAAAAAAAGAAAATATAGTTGCATTTTATTTAACAACTATAGAAATTGAGCAAAAATTAAGAAATAGGTCCTTATGTATGTACAAAAACTACATGTAAAAAATGAGAATAATTATAAGTAAGGGAATGATGGTGATGTTGATGTTTGCAATGATGATGGTGGTGGTGGTGGTGATGGTGATGGTGGTGATAGAACTGGAAAGGATTCTTGGTCCAATGTCTTGGTGGGAATCTGTCCTTTCCCACTGATCTGTCATCGGCTTTTTCAAAGGCCTGTGTCAACTTACAATTGGGCCTTTGGGGTCTCAATCCCTAATGGCATCTGAAGAGGAAGCACCTGCTTTGTTTACTTATAAGAACTCATTGTGTGTGGACAACCATCATGTCCATAGAAAACAAGAAGAATGATTATAAGTAAGCAAATTGTGGTGATGTTGATGAAGATGATGATGGTGATTACAATGAAGATGATGGACTGAGACAGGAGCCCTGGTCTAATGGAATGAAGGCTCCTCATACAGACACACCGTCACCTTGGCTCCTCCAGTGAGGAATGTCCACTCTTCCCAGTGAGTGTTGAGAGATTTCATAAATGGGACCCCAATGAATTATGCAACTTCTGGAATTCATGGTGAGATCGTGTGGATAATCAACCCAAAGGTGTCCAAGTGGGAATACCTTGGACCTGGGAAGGTGTCACCTTCTAGAAAAGAGACACTGAGAATGTGCATGTAGGAAACAGGGGTCCCCTTCCCAGCAGTTTGCAGTGACAGGTTCCTTATTGCTCTTGATCCCTGACTGCATGACCTTTAAGGTTTCTACTTCAATCAACTCCTGCTCATTATTATTCAGGTATTTTCTATGATCATACAAGCTGTCTCTCTCATGCCCTGCACTTCCTTCTGGACCTTCACTGGAGGAGGCTTTAAACCCACATGTCCAGTAACTCTCTGTCCATGAGCATCAGGCACATTTCTGTCATGTGACTCAAACAGTCCAGCTTCCTCCCCTCACCCAGTTCCACAGTCACGTCCACATTTATGGGTAGTTTCCCAGCAGCGCTCCCCTCTGGTACCAGAACCTGCTCCAGCCCCTGTGGCTGCTGAAGCCAATGGACAGTGGAGGCCCATAAATTTCTGGGAAATTCTTTGTAAAAATCACCCAAAATAATACCCATTACAGACAATATTGTTAAAATGGCCTTGGTTAAAATTAAAGACTTTTGTCCCATCAAAGATTCATTGCACAGATTAAAACATAAACATAATGAATGCACTTCAAAATCATATGTCTGATGGCAGAATGTACACATAATACATTAAGGACCTTACATGTTTGTGGGAGAGCCCAGCACCCTCTCACCACAGTGATCTCCCAGGGAAGGGGAGGGGGAGGCTGGGATGAGGGTTTCCTCTCCAGGTTGTGGTTTCCTCTCCAGGTTGTAGTTCCCTTTCCCAAGAGAAATTCTATGGTAGGAATTCTGTTCAGTCACCTCCCTCTGAACCCCCACATCACTGATGACACCAGACTGAGAAAACAGTTACAACATATGAATGATTCTGAGTTGTTCACATACATGATCACTGCTTTTATTTCGTGCCTTTTCTCCAATTAAAGCCATGACTGTTTCTGATGTAACTATTAGGGGGGTATCTGCAATAGGCCATGAGCTCGCATATCAAATAGTTTGCACAGGGAGCTGCAGACATAATCACAAAATTTCCAACATCAACCATCACAGGTGTCTCACCTTTCTGTGCTTGGGAGTAGTTTCTCAGATCAAAATAACATCATCAATTAAGATATTGAGAATGGCTGTCTTTTATTTTTATTTTCTGTACAAAGATAGGAAGTATTTCTAAAAAACTAGATTTTAAAACATCGGGAAATGAGGATACAATAAGATTTTGAGATTCAAAAATGGTCTGTACAAATGCTAATCCCTTTGACACATGGTTAAAAGATTCATGAGAAGTTAAAGGTGTATCCTACTCATTGAGTCAACAATTTCTTCTTCTTCTCAGAGAATTTAGGCCATTCATTGACTTAATTCCAATGTGCTCATGACTCATGTAATCCCCTGACCCTGACTTACATGGTGTGTGAGGTCAAAGGAAGACATGCCCTAACAGGGACTCCAGAATGACCAGGGCAGCCTGACCTCAGTCCCTACACTTATAGTAAAGGCTGCCCCACATGAAAATTTCTGTTCAAGCCCCAGGGTAAATCTTCTCCTGGGCTGTGCAGGCTCAGCTCTCCCCTCACACAGGCCTGAGGTCTCTGGGAAGGCAGAGCTGTGGTCTAGGAGAAGATGAATCTGCTGGGTCTTCTCCTGTGCCTGCTGACAGCCCCCCAAGGTGAGGGTCTCAGGGACCAGGAAGGGGTCATGGGATGGTTGTGACTGCTGGTTACTGACAGGACTGATGCTCCTTGTCCCCAGGTGTCCTGTCCCAGGTTGTTAGAAATAAGGTGAGCCCCCCAAGTCAGGGGTCCTGGTAGAACACAAAACATACGCGGGAGCCAGGCAGCAAGGCTAACATCTTTACTGCAGAAGAGTGCACACACACGGTCTGGAAGTATGCGCACACCAGCAGGCGGTCAACTTGGCTTTACAATCTCTGATGCACAGGACCTGTCCCTTGATCTTGATTGGGCTCAGGCGCACAGTCTTTCACGATTGGCTAATTCAAAGGGAGGGGTTGGCCTTTGCCATTTCAAGATGGCAGCCACTAGGGGAGCTGCAAGCCATGTGGCCAACATGGTGGCTGCCAAGTCACGCAGTCCAAAATGGCAGCCTTCTAAACTGTTCTTTGACAGAAAACATGACTTGTTTCCTCTCACAATTCCCCCCTTTTCTTTATTTAAACTCTTTCTTCAAACTCGGCTGACACTGATTGACTTTCCTGCTCTGCAGTGTTTAGGAGAAGACCAATTTGTCGTTTGGTCAATACGGTTCCAATTGGCCCTTGGATAAGACATGGGATGATGTGACATCCCATCACTGTAGCTCTTAATCAAAGGGGTGAGTGTGGACACCATTGCTCCTTCCACTTTCCAACCATTACTCCAGTGAATCAGAGAGGGACCCTCGATGCCAGGCTCCAGCTCACTCGTCACTGAAGCTGCCCATGCCTTAGGGCCTCAGTGATGGTCTGTCTGCTGTGTTGTCAGGGATGAATGTGCAGCACTGACCCAACATTACACATCTTCCTCCTTCTTCTGCCAGAACCAGATCCAAGGCCAACCTGTTCTCCCAGGTCACCCTGCTGCTGGCACCTAGCTGTTTACTACCCCTTTAACTGCATCTTGAATGTAGTTAACAAGACTTTGCTGGTTCTAGAAAATATAACTAATCCACCACATTCTTGTTCTAAGGGGTCCACCAACACAGAACAGACTCAAACCCTGTGGCAATCTGATCTCTAGCCTTAACTCCTTGGCAACCTCAATGGGATCTGTGTGTATATGGGGATCAAAGGAGCCCCACGGACCCTTTCTCCTTTTCCTAGTCTGTCTATCCATTGAAAAAGGTTTACAATATGCCAACGTGAAAGGGATAGCCAATTGTATGAGAGCACAAGGTCCACTCCATTTGTTGGGCAAGGCCACCAGTCAGGGTGCCCCATGACACAACCAGACATCAGCATGGGGTACCGCCAGTGCAGCATGATGGGTTTCTGAGGATACCCGGCCATTTAGGCATCCAGATAAATTTCTCATAAACTCTGAGGACTGTCCCCTTGCCCCCTTGAGAGGCAGGAGGTATAGTTCACGTAGGAGGACTGGGCTGGGTTTTTTGTTTGTTTGGTTTGTTTGTTTGTTTGGTTTGTTTGTTTGTTTTCTGGGGGGACTAGATCTTTAGCTCTCTTGAACAGCAAAAACAGGGAAGAGTCTTACAGGAAACGTTCCTCCAGGCGGTTTCCTCCTGGTATGAGGCAAGCACATATTCCATCCCTTTACTGTCTGAGGTCCATCCGAATGGGAATGGGACCACTTGGGCCTCTAGCCTTCCTGCCACTTTTATTTAGGGCGCATACAGAATATTTAATCCATTCCACCCAGGCATTCGTTCCCTTATA